GTGCTTGCATTCTGGTGTGTTAGATTTGTTTTGGCCATTTCTAAGTGTAAGATATTTTCATGGCAGACTACCATACAAAGCCCTTGGAGTAACATATTAAAGCAGCGTACGTGTAAATTACACTGAAAATCAGCATACACATCTTATATACCACAGCCATTGGGCCCGTTTCATAGGCACGCCTAAGATCACGCGAGAAGGAGCAGTAGCAATGGTAGCAGCATGGGCATGGCAAGAGCATGCAGGCATCGTTGCAGGTGACTTGATGCCTTGCCCCCCCTGGGTGCCTCTGATGACTCCACCTGCTCACATCACATGTAACCACATCAGCCAATCAGTTGCCAGGATCACGGGAGGGCAACAATCACGCAGTGTCAATTTGAAAAGAAGAGCAGAGTGGTGTGGATGAAATACAAAGGAGTTGCAGTCTTGTTGTATGGAGGGCACAGAGCAGAGCGGCGCTTGCCTGGGTGAAGTTGGTGAAGCCGAAGGTAAAGGTGGACATGCCGCGGTACCCCGTGACCTGCGAGTACGCGGCACTGGGGAACAGCCCCGACACCTCGTACTTGGCGGGGCGGTCAAACACGCTCGTGGTCACGGGCGTGTTGAGCGTCTCAGGGTTGGCGGTGAAGTAGCTGGCATAGAGGTCGATGTATGTGGTGCTCACCGCCTGCCCTATTCCCATCACCTGGGGAAGGCGGAGGGGGACGCATTGTTGGTGGCAGGGGCGTGGCATTGGTGTGAGGCGGACAAGGGGAGTTTGAAAAACGGAGGAGGGGATTGATGATGAGAGGGAGAACATGGTCTCGGGGTTGGCGGTGAAGTAGCTGGCGTACAGGTCGATGTATGTGGTGCTCACCGCCTGCCCTATTCCCATCACCTGTTGGGGGGTAGTGCGTTTGTGGTGCAATGGACATGGGCATGGTAACGTGTTGGTGGTGCAAGGGTTGGAGGGCGTTGGTGTGAGGTGGAGAGGGAGGGGTTGCACAAGGGAGAGGGGAATTAGATGATGAGCGCTGGAAGCATGTACAGTGTGGTACGAAATGCTGACGGGGATGAGAACGGGCAGAGCGAGGAGGCTGGCACAACGATGGGCGGGAGCAGAGAGGAGGCTGGCACAACGATGGGCGGGAGCAGAGAGGAGGCTGGCACAACGATGGGCGGGAGCAGAGAGGAGGCTGGCAGAGAGAGACGGAGGACAGAGAGAGGAGGGGGCGGTGTGGCGCGCAACGCACCTGGCCAGCACTGGTGGCGTAGTAGTTGGTGGGACCCAGCGTGGCCTTGCCGTCGTACCCAAACAGTGCTGGCGGCTGCACACTGCTCGTCCATATCATGCCCACCCGTGGCGCTGCACTGCACTCACACGGGTGGGGGAGGTTAGGAATGAGAGGCACAGATGATTGGTTAGGAGCAGTTGGGGATTGGCGTATAAAGTGAGAGTGGGGGCAAGCGGGGGGATGGGGGAAGCGAGGACGGGAATGAGGTGATGGAGGCATAATGGGAGGCGCAGGATGGGTTTCCAGCTTGATCATGGCTCACAGCGGAGCGACGGCTTACAGCGCCAAAGGGTGAGAGCAGCGGGTGGCTCTTCATGATTACTCACAGCGGGGTGAGGACGGACTTGGCGAGTAGCTTGGAGCCAAAGGGCGAGAGCAGCGGGCGGCTCTTGTACATGGTGCCGGACGATGTGGCGAAGCTGGCCCCCAGCAGGTCCTTGGTGGGCGGCTGGAAGATGGGCGTGCCCTTGGTCACGCTGCAGAAGCCGTTGTCGTTGAACGCGCAGCCGGCGCCCGTGGTGTTGACCAATGAGGGGTCGACTTGGAAGAAGGTGATGAAGAGGAAGCACGAGAGGCACGTCTCGTTCACTGCGTGCGTGCCGTTCACCGGCGTTGGGTCCTCCTGCCCTGCCGCCCGTAGAATGGGCCGGCCATGGTGCCGAGGTGTGGTGCGAGGGAGGAGCGGAAGGGAAGATGAGCGAGGGGGAAGGTGGAACGGGGATAGAGAGAAGACAAAAACTCAACAATTGATGGAGGTGGGCAGGGAAGCTGCGAGGCGTCGCAAGGGGTAGTGTGTGGGGCGAGGGGATGCGCATGGAGCGAGATCGAATTGAAATGCAACAGGAGCGAAAGGGAAAGGAACACGGACAAGAGGGAAGAAAGGGGAGAGCGGAGGTTACCTGCGAGGAAGGGCAGTGCGCCGAAGGGGTTGTACATGAGCCCCACATGGTTGAACACAGTCCCGGGCGAACCTGCCACCAAGCACACCCCATGACACACAGCCGCACTCTCCCGTATGAAATCCACGGCAGCAATAACGGCCATTGAGGCGGGCGTTTCTGGTATGGCGACGACACGTGCGATACAGCACGCAATGTCCGACCTGGACACGTTCTATGGGCAGCCACGCGTTCTACGGTGCAGTGCACGCTGTATGGGCGAACATGCAGGGCATACGGACCGGACGAGCACGCGGGGCATACGGACCGGGCGGGAGCGGGAAGGACTCGAAGGCGGGGTTGGTGTAAGCGAAGAGGTCCTTGAAGTTGGGCGGCGGACTCGCCTGCCAGGCAGCGCGGTGACGGGCGCGCACACAGGGTTGCAGTCTCAATCAACACGCGTGTCCACGTGCGACGACACACAACCGCAACGAGGCAGATGGGCGAGCAGCGTGGCCGTGAGACAGGTGGGCGAGGAGCATGGCGGGAGGGGTGCGAGTTGGGTTGGGTTACCTGAAACAGGATGGACTTCTCGTCCACCACTATGCTGACGTCAGCCTGGAATATCTCGCTGCGGTAGGTAGCGCGAGCAGCGTTGCTGGAGGGCGTTATGGGGGCGCTGTCACGCGGTGATGGGGGGAGAGAATGGAAGAAGCGCACGGGGAGAGGTTTGTGAGTCAAATCCGTTGGTCATGTCGGCAGTAGGGGTGCGACCTCTGGTGCCTCCTTGTGCGGTCGCCATGTTGTGGCGCGTACCCGTAGCTTACCTTCGACGTCGGTAAGGGGCCCTTTTAACAGCCCCCCCGTCACAACGAGTGAGTTGGTTTATCATTGAGCAAGCATGTCATGTGATAATGGGGTGAGGCGAGTGACGCGGAGGAAGCAGAGGGGGAAAGTACGGGGTAGCAGGAGGGGAAGTGAGGGGGGCAGGGGGGACGATGAGAGGAAGCAGGGGGGGAAAGTGAGAGGAAGCAGGAGGAGAAGTAAAGGGGGACAGGGGGATCGATGACGAAAAGCAGGGAGAGGAAAGTGAGGAGAAGCAGGAGGGGCCAAAGTGAGGGGAAGCAGGGGAGGAAGTGAGGGCGGGCAGGGGAGAAGATGAGGGGAAGCAGGAGGAAAAGTGAGGGAAACAGGAAGGAAAATGCGTGGAGGGTGCGGGAAATCTAAGGGCAAACATGGGGGAAAGTTTAGGGAAGCAGGGGGAAAAATGAGGAGAACAGGGGGAAAAGCTAGGCGAATCAGGGGGGTACTGAGTGGAGGCTGGGGGAAGCTGAGTTAGCCGGGGGCAAAGTGAGGGTAAGATTCTTTGTGAGAAGACGGGCGCGGCGAGACTAAGAGTGGCGGGTCCCAGGAGGTTAGGGGGCGGCTGGCCCGCCAAACGTGAGAGGGCGGGCCGTGAGAGGGCGGGCCGTGAGAGAGCAAGGTGACCGGTACATGTAAGGTGGGCGATGAGTTGCTAGAGGGAGTAGAAGGCTGCTGATGACGACCTACGCGACTAGGTGCGAGGGGAGGCGCGGCGCGGAAGGGGAGGTGCGCGAGGGGGAGCGCGACGAGGTGTGAGGGGAGGCATGTCAGGGGAGGCGTGGCGAGGTGCGAGGGGATGCGCGTTACCCTATTCTGAGTGATCTCACCACCCTGAAATTTCTCATGTGCAGGTTTGGTTTCAGGTTTCTGAAAATCGCCAACCTATTTTTGTTTCGCATGAGTTTCTCCGAACTCAAAATATCGAACAGCCTCCACATGTATACGCTCGCTCCGAATGCGTCGAGAACAAAATCTTACCTCTGAGAGGCGTCGGCGCATTCGCAAGGGGTTACCGTCACCGTCACCGCTACAGCTAGAGTCAACACGGCAGCATATATCAGCGGAGGACGCGCCATACGATGGGGCTCTACGGCAGATCCTGTTAAGCTCAGATGTTGATGGAGATTATCGCAGGAAGCTGGGTAGACTGCTAAGTGAGTGAAGATATGAGACTGGGCTAAACTGCTAACTGATGACTGGGCTATCGGTGGAGGCGAGCAGGTCCCAACCGAAGTAGGCTAGGGATGGATGGAGGTGGAAAGGGAATTGGGAATTCACCTAGAGGTGAGTGTAGCTTGGTTCAACCCAGATGTTTCCAAGCTTGACCAAACTCAACCAGGTCCAACCACCTTCCCTCTTGTATCCGCATGGGTCACTCAACAGGCAGCAGGGGGTGCGTCTCCAGACCAGATTGGACTGGAATGCGCTTCGAGAAACGATTTTTGCGCGACGGGCAGTCCTCGAGCAAGGGCACGTCCACTTGTGCGGCACTTCCAGTTGTTTTTCGGTCAGACCGCACAAGGCACGTAACGAGGATCTAGGGAACTGTCCAAACACCCATAAATTCTTCGATAGAAGGAATTTCGAGCAGAATACAAGCACGACATTTTCGTCCCTATGAAAACAAACCGCAACAGTGAGAGCAAGCACAAGCTGATCTGCCTCTAACCCCGACAGCCCTATTGCAGGTGAAGTAATCCATATAAGCGCATGTGCGTGCACATCTGGGGAATAAAGTTGGTAATCTTGCAACCAGAGTCTCGGTATGAAATGAAGAATTTTCCAAACATACAACCTCATAAGTAGCAACTTAAACCTCATGTTAACTACCAGGTTAACTTCATGTCAATGGCTGGAAAGAAGTAACACACGGAGCACGAAAACATTACCCAGCTGAACTTCTTGCATCCCAAATCTTCAAAGCAGCCCTCCCAATGTGCGCACAGCACATGGCTACATAGCTGTGGTGGCCAAAGCAGTGCTATCTTCCTATCTTGCTTTCCAGCTGCACAATGGAATGCAAAATCAGACAACTAAACTTTGGGGAATAATCAATCTCTCATCAGCCACGTTCCTCACCTTGTTGAGACGGGCAGCCATATCATCCAAGGCCTCTTCGAGGTACTTCAAATCCTTCTCATCGTTTCCCTCACTGGACTGACTAGAAAGGTGCTCCTCAACCGCACTAGGCAGCAGCTTGGGAATGTCACTCGTGTCTTTAATGGTGGGCAGCTCAGATGCCCACGCCATGCCCTCACTGGCAAGAATGCCATGCAACCCTTCAATGCACGCAGCAAGCAATTGGCTTCCCTGTGGAAAACCAAAAGATTTCAACAAACAAGCAGGATGCATATTCAACAAGGTGTTTCCTAAGGGTCCGCACCTTCAGGCTGTTATTGGATCCTGAAGTCTCTCCACTGATTGGTTCTCCAATGTCCCTCAAAACCCCATCTGCATGGACAGCGGGGGGATTATACCAAAACGAACTGCAGGGCTGCTGCACATCCTGCAAGCTGCATGTTGACAATACCTCCACCAGGAAGCCTTTGAATGGCCAGGGTCAAGCTCTGAATGTGCTGCCTTAGAAGCTCGCACTCCAGCTCCGATTCCTGCAAGCGACGCTGGAGCTCCCCACGCCCCACCTCCTTATTGGCAACAGGCTTGTTCTTGATTTGCTTCGCTCTGGCATTGGGTGCAAGTGAGAGCCAGGTAGGCAAGTGGCATGCAAAATCAAAGGCAGAAAGTGCTGAGACTGCTACCTTAAGCCGAAGCGAACAGTAGAAACGGATTCTGTATAGTTGTAAGTGGAAGGGGAGCAGCAGCACAGTAGAGTTGTACGTGAATTTCCACCCTGCATTGACAAAAAGAAACTGTCATTCTGCTTCAGCCGTTGCCTCCACACTCAAGTGGCGACTCAAACAAACATCAGCTCACCAGCGATTCTTGCAATATCCGAGTGAGCTTGGAGTCACGGTAGGGGATGTGCGTAGCCTTATCTGCAGCGTTATTCAACCTCAGATTTACAGCACGGGACAGGAATCAGGTTAAGATGAATGAAACCCCACCGGATGTGAGGGCGTTAATGACATTCCCCAAAGCAGAGAGCGATTTGTTAATCATCTTGGCCTCATCCAGCAGACGTCCTTCCGCCCCTGTCTTGTCAACCTTCTCCGAGCCAGCCAGATCCACAAGGTAGATCTTCCCAACTTGCGAGCTGCCAGAGATTTCCCCTGATGAGCTCAATGGACGGCCAACAGAAGTGAGAGAATGATTCCAGTAGCATACCTGCTCCCATCAGCAGAGGTTCGTTGGATTGTCAGAAGAAACATGCAGTGGCTGCGGCTGCTTCCCTGATTCATGTCTGCAAGACAACGCTAACATGAGCATTGCAATCTTCCGATCAGGCAAGGCAAAGCAATAAGGACCAGAGCACGATGTGGAACACTTACTGGTCGCCCCAACAGCCCGATTCTTGATCGCAGCCTGAAAGAAAAGAGTTAACAGCTCTGCTGAGTTTCAAAAAACGAGTGCAGAAAGCCAGAGAACAGGGTACCTCGAGAAGCTGAAGCATTTCCCTCTCGCCTTCAACATATATCTGCATGTAACATTACACGCATGAAAGGTGCGAAGCCACTGCACAGCAGTGAGCACAACAGGAGAGGCACCACCATGATGGACGCACCTCGGTGACGCCGGCAATGGAGATCCCTCGAGTTTGGTCCTCCTTCACCACCAGGTTGTCCTTTGACACATCGTACAGGTCCCTGGAAGAACGCGATACTTGAAGGATGCTATTCCGAAAAAGGATGCTCTACCGCGTTTCCGCAGTAGAGACTAAAAAACGCAAGAGGAGGGTCTAAATCAATGTTTTATTCGGCCTGTTAATCAGAGCAAAGCAGCGTACCTGATTCGCTCCATGTATATTTCCACCTGCCCAAACGAGCTGTCAGCGTATGTCAGGTTCAATGCCAAAATCGAAAATTGCTCTGAACCTGAAGCTTTACCACAGAGAGAGCGACTTTGTATTCGCTGGGGGCGTCCGACGCGTTGATTCGCACGAAGATCTCCTTGGCGACGCGCGGGAGAATCCCGGAACTCTCGGGGTCGTCGATGAGCATGTTGGGTCCCTGCGCGCAGACAGATGATCGCCGTCAGGCTCGGCGCGCAAGCAGCAGGGGATGCGGCGACTGCAGCTGCGCTCACCTCCATGGTGTGCGTCTTGCCCGCGCCGGTCTGCGAGGACGGTGGCGAGTTAGTACGACGAACCGCGAATCGACGAGCTGAATCGGCCATACCTGACCATACGCGAGCACCGTGCCGTTGATTGCCGAAAGCGCATCTGCGGATAACCATGCGACAGTTCTTTAGCGGCGGGGATAAAGTCACGGAATTCTCGGGCACCGTGCGATCGTGGCAATTGATCATACCCTGCACGACGGGCAGCGCGACGTAGCTGAAGACTTCCTGCTGCGACGAGTCCTGGTAGAAGGTCCGGTCGAACGTGAACAGCGTCTTCTCGTCCTTCTCATCCTGCATTGCATAGACGCGTTAGACGCTTCCCGTAGCAGGCAAGAGTAGAAGAAAAGCGCGGATGTGACGGTCGTCGGTCGTGCCTTCAAGTAGAACGATTGGTCGCAGTTCTTCTCGACGCAGATCAGCCCGCCTTCGTGAAGCTCGATCTTGTTCTGCTCACTCCCACAGACCACGTTAGCTGCTTCAACAGGCGACGTGCCTCAACGGGCCCATTCGCGTCGTACTAACCTGGGGCCGGAACCTGACGCATACAGTCACGTTCGCCATAGTCGCTGTGGGAGGTGATGCTTGGGAGCACTGCGACTTGCTTGATGGAAAGCGGTTGAAGGCGAAGTTGAGAAAGGGATGTGATAGCAACTGGTTTGAATTGGGTTCAGGCGGGAAAAGAATGATAGGCAGCGTGTTGAATCCCGAAATCTTCGTTCGCCCTTTTGAACTGCGGTAGGTGACTCCGCGGGAACCTGGTTACCATGATTACTGAATTGGGCGCGAGCACGCACGACAGCCGTGGAGCACAGGATACTGTACCACATTCGCAGTCGCGACGACGAAAGCAATGCGGATTAGTTCAGCGACGAGTCTAGGCTCGCGATTGGTTGCAAATATCAAGGGACAAGCCTGAACCGCCATCCTATACGACGAAGGCAGAAGCCTAGATATTTGTTTTGCTGTTCTGGCTGACGGCAGTAAAATATCTTTGCCGTTCAGGAGTTCTCTAAAGTTCTCATTGCGTAGTTCTAATAAGGCTGACGTAGTAGGTGTGCTCGAGGGGTCGTTACGCCATGCAGCCAGTAGTAGGCTGAGCGCGTCAGCGTGCCTCGAACACTCATTGTCTCCCACCGCCTCTTTCGCAGCCATGACCGTTTTTCGTGAGCCCGACTCGCCTGGTTCGGCGTCGCCGCGGGCGCAGAGGAAGCGCCTGCTGCCTCGCCCCGTGCTCGACGCCGTCGCCGGTGCCGTGTCGGGCGGGGTGGCGCGCGTCGTGGTCTCGCCGCTCGACGTCATCAAGATCCGATTCCAGGTGCCTCCCAATTCCATCCGATTCCAGGTGCCTCCCGATTCCATCCGATTCCAGGTGCCTCCCGATTCCATCCGATTCCAGGTGCCTCCCGATTCCAGGTGCCTCCCGATTCCAGGTGCCTCCCGCGCCATGCCCCCTCCTCCTCTCACCCCCCCCTTCCCCCCCTCTCCATCTCCGCCATTGCCTCGGATCGTACTCATGCCTTCACGCTGCATAGTGCCGCCCCGCGATCCGTTTTTCGCCGGCATGCTGCAACGCAGCTGCCGTGTCTTCTCTCCGCGATCGCCCAAACAGGCGCGCACTTACATCTCACCCTACCCGCAGCGCGCCCTCCAGCATCTCACGCCGTTGCCCCGTCCGCCCGCCCCGCCGCCCTCGCGGTCCCCGCAGGTGCAGCTGGAGCCCATCCACGCGCCGCATGCCGTCGCCGCCGCCACCTCCGCAGCTGGGCGCGCGGCGGCGACGGCGGCGGCGGGCGCGGTGCGCGCGTCGCGGTCCAAGTACACGGGGCTGCTGCAGGCGGCGCGGGAGATTCTCCGCGAGGAAGGCGTGCAGGTGGGCGCGCGGGGCGGGGTGGGGGACAGGGATGCGGGATGCGGGAGGGGGGTGGAGAAGGGCCGAGGCAGCGGGAGAGCGGAATGCGGGAGGCGATGCGTGAGGAGCTGGAGTTCAGGGTTCCGGGTCTGGCGTCACGCGCAGAATGGTTAATGCGGCGGAAGGGTTCGAGGTTGGGAAGGGATGGATGGAGGGAGTGGGGACGGATTGGGGAAATGAGGGAGGGAGGTGAAGAGAGGGGGTGGGGATTGGGAGGGATGGGAGTTTGGGTGAGGAAGGGGGTTGGGAAGTGATAAAGTGGGTGGGGAAGGGGAAGAGGGGGAGTGAGCTAGGCTGGGTATTGAAGGAGGGCGGAGGAACAGGGGCGTTGTTGAACTTTCCGCATGTGTTGAATGCGCTGGAAGCTGCTGTGAGCAAGAGGGCGCATGCATGCTGAGAGCAACAGACTGGTAGATGTCAGGCCGTGCACTGCCCCGTGCTCATTCACCCATCCACTCACCACGCTTCATCTCACCTTCCCTCATCCCCACCTGCTTTATTTACCCCCCTCTGCGCCTCCGCCTTGCTCCTCTCCCTCGGCTCTCTCCCACCTCGCCTTCCCCGTCTCCCACGTTTCCCTCCCCCATCCCTCCCCACCCCAACCCCTTTGCCACCCCACTCCCCTTGGAGCAGGGCTTCTGGCGGGGCGCGGTGGGGGCTGCTGCTCGTGATGAGATGACTTCGTTGCGTCAACTCAAAAGTCTCCTCTTTCCCCCTCCCCACTTCCTCTTCCCGGGAGCAGGGTTTCTGGCGGGGCACGGTGCCGGGGCTGCTGCTCGTCATGCCCTACACCGCCATCCAGTTCGTCGTCATCCACCGCTTCAAATCGCTCATGACCGGCTCGCACCGCACAGGTGAGCGCACAGGGCAGGCCGGCAGGAAGCAGGGGAGGCGAGAGGGAGGGCTGGCTGTGGGGCGGGTGAGGTTGGTCGGTGGGGACACCAAGTCTTCCCTATGCTCTCCCTCAGCTTCCGCCTTCCCTTCTCAAACCCGTCTCTCTCAACCCCTGTCTGTCGTATCGTACCCTCCCCGTCACCGCCTGTCAAACCAAACCACTGTTTCACGCATCTTGTTTCCACCCATCATCGTCTGCTGACGCCGCCACCCCGCTCCTTCCTGTGCTGGCCCCAGTCTTGGAGAATTCAAGCAACAACAGCCACTGCGGTTATCTCTGCAGAGCTACAAGCTCCTTTCTTTCATCCCCGCCGTTCATCCCTGCTCTTCATTTCCTGGTCACAAAACCAGCCTCCCCTTCTCCCCCTGTGTGCCCCCGGGTGCCCCGCGCCCCTGGCAGAGGACCACAAGCAGCTGCGGCCCGAGCTGTCATTCGTGGGGGGGTCAGTGGCGGGCATGGCAGCCACGGTGGGGTCGTACCCCTTCGACCTCCTGCGCACCGTGCTGGCTTCACAAGGCGAGCCCAAGGTAGGGCGAACCCAAGGTAGGGCGAACCCAAGGTAGGGCGAACCCAAGGTAGGGCGAACCCAAGGTAGGGCGAACCCAAGGTAGGGCAAACCCAAGGTAGGGCGAACCCAAGGTAGGGCGAACCCAAGGTAGGGCGAACCCAAGGTAGGGCGAACCCAAGGTAGGGCGAACCCAAGGTAGGGCGAACCCAAGGTAGGGCGAACCCAAGGTAGGGCGAACCCAAGGTAGGGCGAACCCAAGGTAGGGCGAACCCAAGGTAGGGCGAACCCAAGGTAGGGCAAACCCAAGGTAGGGCGAACCCAAGGTAGGGCAAACCCAAGGTAGGGCGAACCCAAGGTAGGGCGAACCCAAGGTAGGGCGAACCCAAGGTAGGGCGAACCCAAGGTAGGGCGAACCCAAGGTAGGGCGAACCCAAGGTAGGGCGAACCCAAGGTAGGGCGAACCCAAGGTAGGGCGAACCCAAGGTAGGGCGAACCCAAGGTAGGGCGAACCCAAGGTAGGGCGAGCCCAAGGTAGGGCGAACCCAAGGTAGGGCGAACCCAAGGTAGGGCGAACCCAAGGTAGGGCGAACCCAAGGTAGGGCGAACCCAAAATAGGGCATGAGGCAGGACGAGCCCTGCAGAGAGTGGGGCATGAGAGCAGTCAATCATGCCAGCTGCTTCTCCTCACACACTGGCAGTCTCATATTCTCTGTGTCTTCTGCGTCTCCGGTTTCTCTTGCTGCCATCTCTCCTCACTCCAACCCGCCCCACCCATGCAACGCACGGGTGCAGGTGTATTCCGGCATGAGGGCGGCGTGCATGGGGATAGTGAGGGAGCGCGGGGTGAGGGGGCTGTTCGCGGGCCTGCCGCCCACCATGGTGGAGATCATTCCCTATGCCGGCCTGCAGTTCGGCCTCTACGACGCCTTCAAGCGCCAACTCGCTGTACGTCCCCCTCTGCCTTCTTCTCGCACCCCTTCCCCTAAGCGTCCTCGTAGCACGAATTTCCCACACTTCGGCTCTCTGGTGGCCGTGAGGTACCGGTAGCAGCACTGCGGAGGCGCAGCGATTGCGCCTTCTCACTGGTAGCATCCTCATCCGTTGCGAAAGTGTTTGTCAGCGCCTAACCAATGGTGTTGGACTTGCTCTAACCACTTATTATCCCATCATATCTCATGATACCTACACCATACAGTCTTCAGACATTCACTACATTGTTCTCGTTAACAACTGCCACGTCAGCCAGCTCACATGTGTTCGTGGCATTGGCGCCCATCGTCTCTCACTGCATGCAGCACTACAACTGGTCGCGCTCCAAGGCTCGCCACGACCGCCCCGTGTCGCTCGCCCACTCGCACCTGCCCTCCACAGCCCCATCCACCGCGCCCCTCTCCCCATCACCATCACCCTCACTCTCACCAGCAGCAGCCCCGCCAGCCATGGCATCGGCAGTGGAGCGGGCGGCACGGCCTGGCGTGTCAGCGGGGCAGCTGAGTGCATGGCAGCAGTTCATGTGTGGGCTGGCAGCGGGCACACTGGCTAAGGTCGCCTGCCACCCACTCGACGTCGTCAAGAAGCGATTCCAAGTGAGACGCCCTCCCATGCCCTCCCATGCCCTCCCATGCCCTCCCATGCCCTCCCATGCCCTTCGATGTGTTCCCATGCCTTGCCGTGCCTTGCCATGCTTTCCCATGCTACATTGCCTTGCGATGCTATGTCATGTTATGTGACTCCATGGGATGCCATGTATCCCATGCCACTCCATGCCCCATCCTCATCCACTCTGCCGTCTCACGTCCCATCCATGTAATGCGATTCTCTTCCCGAGCTGCTTTAAAAAAACGTCCTATCGTACCGTTATCCTTCTTCCGTGTCTCCTGCTCTGACCCCATCGGCATGGGCAGGTGGAGGGGCTGCGGCGCCATCCTCGGTACGGAGCACGCATTCAGCCGAGGGCGTACCGGGGCATGATAGACGCGCTGCGTAAGATAGTGGCCACCGAGGGTGTAGAGGGGCTCTACAAAGGCGTGCTGCCTTCCGTCATCAAAGCCGCCCCATCTGCTGCAATCACCTTCTTTGTCTATGAGCTTGTCGCAAAATTCCTTGAGGAAATGTCCTCAACAGAAGTCTAATAAGCAAAGCAAACATTGTTGTTTCGTTGTAACAATACAGTTATCTGATTTTAACCCTGGTTAAGAATTGAGCATTAGAGTGACTTGCAGAGTGTCACTGCTGCATGTTCACTGCTCCGGATGTATTCTTTTATTGCCGAGTAAGGGCTAACAGTTGGATAAGTGATCAGACTATAGCATAGCAATATCAAGGTTTACTCACGCATGAACATGTTCTAAATGTGGCGCGCCTGCATGGACTGGCTGCATGCATTGCTGCACAGCATCTGCTGTAGAAACAAACTCCAGTGTATCCAGTTTAAAGCAAGGGTGCACATTCCTGGGGGTGGCATGGCATAATGCAGAGAGGGGAAAGGCGGAAGATGGGTGTAAGGCAGAGAGGGGAAAGGCGGAAGATGGGTGTAAGGCAGAGAGGGAAAGGGGAAAAGCAGGGTGAATGGCATAGAGGGAAAGGGGGATGTAGGAGGAAAGGGAGATAGGGGAAATGTGGAAGAAGCCTTGTAAGGCAGAGTGGTGTAAGGGGGAATTAAGGTGAAAGGCCTGGACGTGACAGGGGGTAGTAGGGGGTAAGGAAGAGGGTAAAAGGGGGAAGAAGGCCGTAAGGCAGAGAGGGGAAGGGGAGAAGAAGGGTGAGAGGCAGAGATGGAAAGGGGGAAGAAAAAGCCAGGGAGTCAAAGAAAAGGTGGAAGATGGGGGGGAGTGAGGCAGAGTGGCATGAGGGGGAAAGGGGTGTAGGGCAGAGAGGGGAAGGGGGAAGAAAGTGTCAAACATATTTATGTATGTTATAAAGTTGGGTAGGCTGTAGTGGGGTAGACTATTAGGGGTACAACACTTTAGGGTTCTTGTACTAAAATCACTCGACACTCTAGTCCACTTTTGACACCAATGCCTAAGTCTAAGAGAAAGGTGTAGGCAGGTGGGGGGAGAGGTGGACGTTGGGGGTAAGGCAGAGAGGGGAAAGGGGCAAGAAAGGTGTAAGGCGGAGGGGGAGAGGGGGGGGACGTGTGTAGGGGAGAGTGTGACAAGAGGGAAGCAGGGCATAAGGCATAGAGGGGTAAGGCGGAAGAGGGGTGTAAAGCAGAGAGGGGAAGGGGAGAAGAAGGGAGAATGGCATAGAGGCAAAGGGGGATGTAGAAGGCTCTGGGAGATAGTGGACAGGTGGAAGAAGGGGAGTATGGCAGAGCGGTGTAAGGGGGATAAAAGGGTGCAAGGCATAGAGGCGAAAGACGGAAGAAGGGTGTAACACAGAGAGAGATATAAGAGAAGTAGGGTGAATGGCATGCAGGGAAAGGAAAAAGGAGGAGGATAGGGAGATTGGGGACGTGAGTGAGGCACAGTGGCGTAAGGGCTAAAAAAACGTGTGAGGCAGAGACGGGACAGGGGGTAGAAGAGAGTAAGGAAGAAAGTTAACGGGAGAAGAAGGGCGTAAGGCAGAGAGGGGAAGGGGTGAAGAAGAGTGAATGGCAAAGAGGGAAAGGGGGATGTAGGAGGTAATGGAGATAGCGGGACTGGGAGACTGGGGGAAAGGGGAAGAAGAGTGTAAGGCAGAGAGGGTGGAAAGGTGGAAGAATGGGGGGGAAGAACGGGGAAGGCAGAAACGGTAGAGGCGGAAGAATGGTGTAGGGAAGAGAGGGGATAAGGGGGAAGAAGGGTGGAAGGAAGAGGGGAAAATGGGGATGAAGGGCGTAAGGCAGAGAGGGTGGAAAGGCGGAAGAAGGGGGTATGGCAATGTGGGGAATAGTGGTAGAAGGGTGTTTGACAGAGGCGAAAGGTGGGAGAAGGGCGTAACACAGAGCACGCATGGTGGGGTTGAAGAGTGTAACGATGAGAGGGGAAAGGGAGTTGACGGGTGTAAGGCAGTGAGGGGTGTTGGTGCAACCCTACGGCTTGCACTCGGCTTGTTGTCCGTGTGCGTGTGCGTGCATGCGTGTGTGCATGGAGTGGTATGAGTGCATGAAATAAATATATATTTCATGCTTATAATGGTGTATGAATGATGGGTCATGATGTTGAGTGTGTGTGTCAAGTCAATAGCGAATTATCGCTAGTCGCGTGTAACGCGGTCATTTTGTGTGTCCCGCGCGGTTTCTATTTTGTCGTGCGCGGTTTTCTATTTTGTCGCTTGTCGAACGTTCGGCGTGTCGCAGGTGTGTGCAGCAGACCCATCAAGAACTCAAGGATGAGTTTTGTGATGAAGAACCCGAGCCTTGGTTCAAGCTTCAAGTGTTTTCGAAGCTCGCCAAAAGGCTACACCTCAAGATATTGAAGATAGTTACATTACAATGTGTAGTGTAACATTTCTATGGGTGTAGGCCCTTGTGGAGGGTAGTTTCGAGACCCTTCTTGGTTGGGGACAGTGTGGCACTGTTCCCCATCACTGTAGCTCGGTTCTTGGGGTTTGTAGGAGCTGGGAGTCCTTCCCAACTCGTAACTCTTCCTAGCTGTTCGTAATTGTGTGTCCTAAGGCTATGTTTGCTCCCATAGTGCCGTTCGTTCAATCTGACGCTGTGTCGTCAATTCTTGATGAAATCGTGCGATCTAAATTGCCTATTGTAGGCGACGTTAAGACGCTCCAGATCCAAGTTGAATGAGGTCAATTGGAGCTGTGACCAGATCGCTATGAATGTTTAAAGCCGCTGTGCAGAAATCTGACTGCGCACTCTATCTTTGGCTCTAGGCACATTGAAGCCTATTGAAGCCTACTGTGACTATAACAAGGGGTTAGGGGGAAGAAGGGTGTAGGGACGAGAGGGAAAAGGAGGAAGCAGGGCGTAAGGTACCGTGGGTGGAGACGTGGAAGAAGGGGGTAATGCAGAGTGGGGAAAGGGGGAAAAAGGGTGTAAGGCAGAGAGGGGAAAGGGGGAAGCTGGGCGTTAGGCAGCGAACTAATGGTGCAATAAGAAAAGTGTCAGGAGAGACGGGGAAGGAGAAGCAGGGCGTAAGGCAGAGAGGGGAAAGGGGGGAGAAGGGTGAAAGGCAGAGAATGCAAGGTGGGGGAAGAAGGGTGTATGGAAGAGAGGGGAAAGGGAGAAGATGGGCGAAAGGCAGAGAGGGGAAAGGGGGAAGAAGGGTGAAAGACAGAGAGGGGAAAGGGGGAACAAGGGTGTAATGCGGACGGGTGAAGGGGGAAATAAGGATGGGTAAGGCAGGGAGGTGTAAGGGCGAAGAAGAGAGTAAGACAGACAGGCGAAGGTGGCAAAGGGGTGAAATCCCGGAAACTAGGGGAAAAGGGGACGAATGCAACACGGTGAGTGTGAATGGGAGATGCGGGTCGGAGGGGAAAGGAGCGGTATAGCGGCAAGGTGTGGACGCGGTGGTCGCGGAAAATAATGTGCATGCCCCCGGCACAGCATAGATGCGCACCAAATCAGATGTTGGCGTCCTCGCCCGTCCTCGCCGCTGCTCAGTGGCGATGCACGTCCGTCCGTCGCGCGAATTGCTGCTTGTAGCCGTCCGCCATTCGTGCGGGGAAGCAGGGGGGGGAAGGAGGGGAAGAAGTGGGGGAAAGGAGGGGAAGCCGGGGGGGGAGGAGGGGAAGCAGGGGAGGAAAGGAGGGGAAGCAGGGGAGGAAAGGAGGGTAAGCAGTGAGAGAAAGGAGGGGAAGCAGGGGGGAATGGAGGGGAAGCATGGGGGGAACGGAGGAGAAGCATGGGGGGAGCGGAGGGGAAGCAGGGGGGGAACAGAGGGGGGAGCATGGGGGGAATCGAGGGGAGAGCATTGGGCGAATGGAGGGGAAGCATGGGGGGAAAGTAGAGAAAGCATAGGGGGAACGGAGTGGAAGCAAGGGGGGACGGAGGGCAAGCAGGGAGGTGACGGCGGGGAAGCACGGAGAGGACGGGGGATGCTGTTACAAAACCAGCACGGAGGGGAGTGAGCGTCGGCGACTTGGAGGAGGGAGCGTGTGTGATGGAGGGAAGAGTCGCGTGCCCGACAGGAGGGGAGTGAGCGGGGGCGACGTGTAACGCATTGCCCTAGCGCACTTCCCTGTAGTCAAATGTCGAGAGGGAGAAGGTTGGGTTTGGTTGGAATGCAACGGTTGGTTTGGTTTCCCAAACCTCAACCAAGTGGTTTGGGAAACTCCAACCTATCAAAGTTGAGATTTGAAGGTGTTACAACCTACTCTATCTTAAAAACAACCATACAAATGGTTCTAGGTTGGGTTTTCCCAACCCAAATAATTGCCACATAGGCTCCAAGCCCAGGAAACTTCCCACCATGGTAACCATGGTTGGGAAAGTTCTCCAAGGGGTGTATTGAGGGGGTTTAAGCCTAGCAAGCTCATTCTTCACCTCCCACTTCAACCAAGGTCGTCGCTTGCAGAATGTTTTTGTATGTTTGTCTTATATTCAGACGGTTGGTGTAAGTTTCATCTGATTTTTCAGATATTCAGACGGTTGGTGATTCACGCGTGAACAAGGCATGGTGGGTGTGTCTCCGTGTGATTACCAAACTCTATGCATCATACATTGTGCGGCCCGTCCTCCCACGTGTATCTTTCGCCAGCACTGCAAAAAGATGCTGCTGCACAAGTACACATACACGTTACTCACATGGTGTCTGCGTCACAACCTGCCCATGCAGGACCATTTCTGTCGTACGTGGCCTGTCCCCTAGTCAGGGATTAGTCAGTTTTTCTACAACAGTCATCGATCCACCACCACAAACCCTCAAATACGGCGCCTGCAGAAGGTTCAGGAAGCGCGCTGCGGGATCACCAAAGTCACGTGGTGCCACCCATAGGTTTGCACTGCCATGCGCGCTTCGTCAACTGGGATGTGAGTTGGGGCGTTGGGGTTTTGGGGTCCTTCTTCTCCAACCCTCTCTTGCAAACGCCCCTTCCAGCAATTTCCACTGCAATTGGTCTCATTCTTTCCCGTTTCCCGTGGGTCCGTCTTCTTGCCATGGCGGACGGCGTGGAAGCTACTGAAACACCCACCCCACGGCCCCACCCACCAGTAACTGGCCTAGATTTCCTGTGTCGCTCCCAGCCTGCCGCCGTG